TGTTTACGTTTTAGTGGTGTCTTCCTCGGGTACTGAAGCATATGGCTATAAGATCATGAAAGTGACTGTAAACTTATTCCATCTTTTATTCATCTTCTGTTTTGGCATTCATTTACCCATCAGTATTATGAATAAATGTTAGGTGATACTTGTATGAACAAAGGAAGAGCCGTACTATAGAAATAATATAGATAAATCACTAATTTACTTGGGTCACAGGACCATGCAGTGTTATAGTCTGTGCATCTTGTTTTTGTGTAATTATAATAAGTGTTAAATTGTTTTAATTTAGTATTTCTTTGAATCCTGATTCACTCTGCACAATTTATTGAATGTTTTCCTTGGATCGCAATGTAATTATACTAAATGTTATCCTCGACTGTCAGCCAGAGGTAGCAAAGAGTGTCACATGATTCTGGTCTGTTAACAAAAACTGTTATTTCAGAATATAAGTCTGATTAATGGGCCTAGAAGTTGAGGCACTGGTGAGAAAAAAGAGTTTTCAATAGTAGCCTTGACAATGGACGAGTTGACGGTTCTGGGTAAACACAAGAAATACACTCTGCCACGTCCGTAGAGTGATACGGTATATATGATTTGTAATAAAAGTTTGAATTCCTGCTATAATAGTCGAGATGAGTTTATTTCTCTAGCAACAGGGACACCATTTCCAATGACGTCACCAGTTTCCCAGCAGACGACGGCAGTAGAGAGAGGGCAGAGTAAGTGGGAGTCAAAAAAGAAGCAGGTCCTGGGGAGTAAAATTGGTTACCCAAAACAAGGGGTAAAACAGGACCAGGGAAGGGTAGGTTTATAAAATAGACTTGCTGAGAGCGGTTGTATGTACCAAGAATGTAGACGTCATAGCAATCACCGAAACTTGGATGAATCTGGTGAGCAAGAACTCTTTATCAGAGTACGACATAAGAGGGTACAACCTATTTCACAAGAACAGGGGAGGTAGGAAGGGGGGAGGGGTCGCACTCTTCGTCAGGGATACATTAAAAATTTGTATCAATAATTCAATAAAGGGTGAAATCGGAACCGAATCTGTTTGGATAGGAATTGCAGAAGGAAGAAAAAACTAATTTTGAAGTGATTTACAGGCCCCCAAGTCTTGGGAAAGAAGCAGCTCAGCCCATATGGCAGGAAATGAGGAGGGTGAGGTCACCGGCGACACAACAATTGATCATGACTATAATATATTCACTTGTATACTACGTAAACCACAGGAACAAAATATACCATACAAAAAAATTAGGTCAAATAAGAATGAGCCAAGGTAGATGGCCAGAAAACTTAAACATGACATAAGAATACAGAAGGGAATTTATAAGAACTAAAAGGGAGGAAAGGAGTATCTCAGTAACAGGTATAATGAACTATCTAGGAGTGTTAAGAAAAATGTAAGGAAGGCAAAGAGGGACTACGAAATCAGGATACTAAAAGATTCCAAGGTGAATCCCAAGGGAGTTTTCCAGGAATATAGGAGAAAGGTCAAGGACAAAGTGGGACCCTTACATGTAAAGATAGAGAGAGGGGAAGTGATCTATGATAGTGAGAAAATAAGTAAAGCATTAAACAGCAACTTCTTATCAGTTTTCACAGAAGAAATTCACGAGTATATGCGAGAGGTGGAACTGATATTTACAGGAAATGAAGAAGAGAAATTAAAGAATATCACTATCAGAAAAGGGGATATTGTTAAGAAAACAAATAAATTAAAGAAGACAAAATCCCCAGGGCCGGATGAAATTTTCCAAAAGTTTTGAAAAAGTGTAAGGAACAGATTAGTGGACTCCTCTTAAATTTATTTACAAAATGATTAGACCCAGGAGTTGTGCCAGACTTGTGGAAACAGGCAAATGTAGTACCCATATTCAAAGAGGGAGATAGAGCATCAGCGTCAAATTACCGGCCGATTAGTTTGACGTCAGTAGTGGGGAACTTTCTTGAATCAATTATAGCAAATATCATCCGATCGCATTTAGAGAAAAACAAATTAATCTAAAACTCTAAAACAACATGGGTTTACAAAGGGAAAATCTTGTCTATCAAATCTGCTGACGTTTCTTAGGAAAGTCTTCGAGGTAGTAGATAATAACGAAAATTACGATGTTATTTACTTTGACTATAGAAAAGCGCTTGACAGAATAACGCATCAGAGGCTTCTGAGAAAAATTAAGGCTCAAGGTATCGAGGGGAAAGTTTAAAATTGGATAAAATCATGGCTCAGTGATAGAACGCTGAGGGTCAGCGTAGATGGTGTTAAATCTGAGTGGGGCTGTGTAACCAGTGGGGTTCCCCAGGAGTCAGTACTGGGCCCACGCTTGTTCATAATCTACATAAACGATCTAGATACTGGGATCAGTAGTGACATAAGCAAGTTTGCGGATGACACCAAAATAGGGCGGCAGATTAATTCAAGGCAGGATGCAAAAGCACTACAGGAGGGTTTCAATAAACTGCAGGAGTGGTCAGAAAAATGGCTAATGAAATTCAACACCAGCAAGTGCAACGTACTTAATATTGGAAGAACAAATACTGTCAGTGTATACAGCCTTAACAACATCAAACCGGAGAAGTCGAATTGTAAAAGAGACCTAGGGGTACATGTAAGCCCGGACCTTCAGCCTAGAAAAGAATGCGTTAATGTTCGAAATAAGGCAAACAGAGTATTAGGTATTTTATCTATAAGTGTAAGTAAAAAGAGTGTGGAGGTCATACTGCAACTATATCTTGCGCTAGTCAGGCCGCACCTCGATTATGCGGTTCAGTTCTGGTGCCCATTTTTATAGAATGGATATCAATTCACTGGAGTCGGTGCAGCGAAGAGTGTCGAAAATGTTTCCGGGACTTAGAAACCTTCCATATCAAGATAGATTAAAAACACTAAACTTGCATTCCCTAGAAAGTGAGGGGAGATATGATAGAAGTATTTAAGTGGGTGAAAGGAATCAATAAAGGCGATATAGATAAAGTTCTTATAATATCCGAGCAGGATAGGACTCGTAGCAACGGGTTTAAGTTGGATAAGTTTAGGTTTATGAGGGAGATAGATAGGAACTGGTTCACAAATAGGGTGGTGGACGAGTGGAACAAGCTTAGCAACTTTGCAGTAAGTGCTGGAACGCTGGAAAGTTTTAAAAGGAGGCTAGATAGATTCATGGATGATAGAGAGTGGTAGTAACTCTAGACAGGAGCTGTCATGCACAGCCGGCCTATTGCAGACTCCTTATTTTCTTATATTCGTATGTAAACTCACAGCTGCAGTCGGAGGTTGGACAAGCACTTCCAGGGTTCATCAAGGCAGATGAAAGAAATTTACCAAAAGTAGATGTCTTTATGATTGTAGAGTATTATCAAGAACTCGGTCACCCAGGTATGAAGCACGTTAAATTACATCTGTCATCTGATCATCTCAAGCCCATTCCCTGGCCATGGTGGCCCCAAGCCCTTCCACAACACTAAATATAGACATCAGTGACGAAAACTTACATTTTCCAGACATGAAATAGAGAACAATGATGAAAACTTCCATGTTGGAGTTATCGGTCTTTTGCATCATTTGGCAGCCAGCAAGTAAATACACACGATGATACTTAAGCAGTAATATATTTTAACCTAAAAAAAAGGCATGTCTGTGTATACCAACAGTGTATATGACCACAAGTCCTGTATTTCTGCTGGTAACAACACATCACCACAGCTGGCTGCCTCCTGCACTCTCGAGCTGGACGGCTCGCACTAACCAGTGATGTAACAACCAATCACAGCTTTTCGCAGACATGTGACTTTTTTGCAACGTTAACCCTAATTTTTTACACTTTTTGGCCCAATTTATTTAAAAATATCCTTACCATAGTGAATCTAAGCGTTTTCTTTACCCATTGACCTGCCATCTTACGAAACAATTTCGACCGTCGACTCGTCCATTTTAAGCAGACCTTCATTGTGAGTAAAATAAGCAGTACTGCCTGTGGGTCATAACCTAAATATCCAGGAGCCTTACAGTGCACCCAGTTTAGGATATTATCTTTGTAGGCATACTACTAAAGTTTCATGACAAATTATTCAAATGGAATGGAAACTTGAACAGACGTAAGTTATCTGATGATGGAAATATATTTAGGAAGGAAAAAATGGGGAGGTATCTTTGGTGTAGGAACTATCAATGACAGGGATTTAGAGGTTCATAGAAATTTATATGAAATTGTTTTGTAGATTTTGATGAAGCATTTGCAAAATAAAACTCATTAAGCCCAAAGATGCCAAGAAAAGTATTAATGATAGCTATCAGAAAGGTGCAACATGAAGGTTATATAATGCCTACTGACTATTTTTAATGAGACAAGTTATAAATATCGATGAGGGAATAAAAGTTAATAGTAAGAGTAACACAAAATATGTGGTATCCAGATTGTATTACTTTAATGGCAGACATTGAAAAAGCATTACAAAAACTGGCAAAGAATGTGGGCTTCGAGTCATTGCTGTAAAAGCGGAAGTAACGGATTTTACTCCAAATTATAAATTATGGCTGGCAAGAAACATAAAGCCAAAATAGAATCTAATATTCTTTAACGTCTCTTAAACAGGACTATTGAGTTTAGTTGGAGGAAAAAGGCTGGCAAATGCAAAATATGTCAGATGCTGGGATACTTTCAGAGGAAACACAAAAGAGGCCAGAGACCTTCCAATATACTATAATAGGAGCTTTGATTCACATATACAGACAAAAAAATAAATTTAATAGTACAGTTCTATAGTAATGGTCAGAGCAACGAGAGAAATACTGGAAACATACAGAATAAGAAAATATGAAATATTTTGATCTTAAATTCGGAATGAGGGGATAAATGGGTAAAATTGGAAGGAGGTGGGACAGGGAAGGCAGACTTAAATGAGCAGCTAGGTGCCCAGACAGATGCAATGTCTGGGATAATCAGTACATATAACCCGAAATTTTTCATGTAGAGTGTCAGGGTAGCCAACTCTTGGTCTTAAAGATTACACATTGGTTGACTGTTTCAATAATCCTCTTCCACAGAAGGAACCAAGACTGCTCTCTTAATATAGGGAGGTGGTCAGTGGGAATTAGTCTAAAGGAAGGTAGATGGCGTTTTACAGTAGTCTCGGTCCACGAGAAACAGTTGCAGGGATTTCATTCTGTGGCGGGGTGCAATATGGGCCGAATACAGCACAGCGGGCTTTGAGGTAAGTGTTGTTTAAAGATGCATCGTAATTTTTTGGGTATTTGTAAACAGTTGAGGCACATATATGTGTCCGTCATTGAGTTACGAGTGGCTGTTTATTGTAATAATGGTTAGAAGAGTTTTTTTTTGTGCGTACTAAAAAAGGACAATTCAAGGTAACTTGCCTGAATCCCCAAACATTGCCTCCAAAAACGGGATATTCGGTGGTGCCGATGTGAAAAGGTGTGTTGCCGTGTTTGTCAGTGTAGCGCTTAGCCACTTGAATCTGAGTCCACGTTTTGAGATCTAGGAGGGAGAACCCACCATACAGCACACGCTCCAGCCATTCTTCCGCGTCACTATTCTGCCACGAAGTAACACCTTATATATCATATTGCCAACAATTAAATAAATGCAGAGATTAATACCACTATTTCCTTGCATGATTTGAATTCACACCTCTCAGATTAGTAGGCGAGGATGCCACCACTCTGCCAAATATAGATTAAAGCACGAGTAAATTAACCTGGACTCAGTTTTACCAACGATCTGTTTTCACTCGATAATAGTAGATTAACTTTACTTATAATTATATACACAGGGGTAACAATAAAAACAGCTACCCATGTGAATTGCGAAATAAAATCGCTTTCTCATTATAAAGGCACAGTGGTAGCGCCCTTGCCTACCACTCAGATTCTTGGCTGTGAGTGTTGTAAATGGTCGACCAGTGATGTTTTTTTGCATAAATAAATGAAAAAATTGTGGAATGAAGGGAAAATTAAAACTGAAGATTTTGTGTTTATGTTTTTTAAGTAGTGCCTGTGAAGCCGAGTTGAAACATCCCTCCCAGTTTCTGGTGGTCATCCTCATCTCCCTATCTCATATCAGATTCCATTTCGCTCTCTGTAAGGGAGGGATACGGTACCAAGAAGCTGTGTGTGTGTGTGTACATAGAAACAAGAAACTTAAGCAATGTTTTCACTAACCTCCAAATTTTTCATATGTTGATAAATTCCTTGAATATCAGGATCAGAACTTCCGTTAAAGTACAAGAAATTAGTTCCTACTAATTCATAAATACCCCAGGACCAGCCATCTCGGTTGAGGAGATCCTGGAAGGTGTTAATGGGCGGGTACTTGCTCTGGACGGAGAGGTGGGCGACGAGGGAGGAGCGGTAGGCTGCTGTGATGATCACGCAGGTCAGCAACCACCACCCCATCAGCACCTACAGTCGGCAAAGAGGACACAAGGAGTTACCACAAAATAAAAATAAAAATCATATGTTATTGCCCTGCTGCGACAACTCTCGACGAATATCGTATTAATTTTACCAAATGGAGCCGATTGTAAAGTGAATTGAAAGCGTTGGTCAGTAAAAGGGATAAGTTGCCATAGGGACGTTTACTTTGACGATTTAAAACAAACGAATTTATTTATATTATCATTATAAACGAAAGATAATGATCATCTCTGAGGAGAAACCTTCATTTGCTTTCTTCTTAAAATTTAGTAAATAAGTGAATGAGTAAATCAGATTAGTTTCAGAACCAATGCGTTTTGCTATGGTTGAAAATGTTAGGGAAAGACAAAAAGTTAAAATTTGAATATACGACGCAACAACATAAATAGCTCATCATGTGGTGCCGAAAAAGTTTGTACCTAAGCTTCTTGATATATTCATCAGATCTACGGTCTAAAAGTTATAGTTCTAAATTTTTTTTAAGCAAAAATGATAAGAATATCGTATATAACAATTGACCGTTAATATTCACAAAGATCAGTTAGGACATGGTTCTCACCCGTCCACTGGCTTTGGTGGGCAGTGTTGGGCTTGGCTCTGACAGTAATATTCCCCAAGTGTGGAAGAGTGGGGGCACCAGGCTGACATCACGTTCAGCTAACGCCCATGACCACGCCTTCTGCAGCAGCCACAGGATGAGGCCCAAAACAGGTGTACAGACAATGATCGTAATCCAGACTTCCTCTATAGAAGGAAGAAGAATGTTCTGTATAGTGACATCTGAGTGTGAAAAATATGCTTGTGTGTACACTGACGTTAATAATGTTTACGATTACATTCGCATTATCTTTTTGCACGAAGAAAGTTAGACATGTTTCACTTTGTTATGAAAGAGCATTTAGATGAAATTTTAGTTGATTCTGTTACGTGTGCCGGAACTCCCTCAAGTCATGCCATCGTGATTTCTTAGGTTTTCAACTAAAAAAAATGTATTCTGTGACAACAAAAAACAAGGGATTTGTGGAGAGAAGAATCTTTACGGGTAGAACTTTTATCGAAAATTAGTAAATTCTATAAACCAGTAAATTACAAATGTCTGTTTTACTATTTTTATCCCAGTGTATGACACATAATTTTCCCCCGTCCTTTGTGGATGATCCACCTTACTAGGAACCAATATTGGCAGTCGAGTTACATTTGGCTTCTAACGGTGGCTGGTTTTCAAAGCCTGAATACAACAGAGCTTATGGCTCTATTCCCTGTAACATTCATCACTTGTATATGTTCAAATATGTTTTGCATAATATACATCTTCACGAGTACAAAGAAATTCATGTTCCGTTCAGCAGTCAAATGAATACTTTCCTCGGTTCATATGTATACACAACTCGATGTTACCTTCACAAGTCACACAACTTTTTATATCAGTCAGGGTGATACACACAGCTCATTATAAAGCACGTCAGTAAAATAAAATTAAGGCAGACCAACGATGGGAGATATATATCTTTACCTTTAAAAGGTCTGGTGAGCGCCAGGTGTCGCGGTAGAGATGAAGGTTTTAGAGACAAAATAATATAAGGATCGTAATTATAGATCCTTGAGTGGTCCATGACGCGGCTCCTTGACTCTGTGAGTGTAAGGTCGAGGGAGAAGTCCGCCTGCTGGTGCTGGAGGGTGCCAACGATCCCTGTCCAGTTGCCATCGGCTGCTGGAGTCCCCCACTTCTCATCCAGGGGCTCACGCAAGACGTATCTAGAAAAAATAAAATAAAATATATTTCAATATAAATAGTAGTACAGTACTCCAACTTACAGAACTATAAGAATAAAAATGATCTTACTATCACAATTATGAATGAGGCCTAATCCACCGTAAAAATATTCACCACCATCATTATTATTACCATTTTAAGACCATTTTGCACGTTTGGCGTCTTGCAACTCTTCTCGTCTGGTTTTATGTCAGGTCATTCCTCACAACCTATCCCCATTATGTTTGTCGTAACATCTCTTACCGTCCATATTCTAACTCATATATGTATTGACTCGGTTGGTTTCACCCATGATATTCACATGGGTTCTAGGACAACTGCCCCTTGGACAATTACCCCCCGAACAATTGCCCCACGAAAACTGCCCCCCCCCCCCTGGACAACTGCTCCCGTGGGACAATTGCCCCCCATTGCCCGAGCAAGTCTTATGTACAGCTGACCAAAGAATGTGAGAAACGTCGGCATAACAACCGCAAAGCCCAAGTTACAGTGTGTGGAAATGAAGTAGATGGCCATGTATATGACCATCAACCAGGTGGTTGCAGGAGATCCAGCACCACCTAAGAGGAAGAGTTATCCTGATTCAACAGCCAGAATAGCAGCCAACATACATGACTTAGAGGACCGTCAGGTGTTGTTCAGAGGTATGGGCCACAACTTGTAGTTTTTGTGTGATGTATGTCAGTCAATTTTTAAATATTAAATATAACTGATCCACCATTTTTTTCACTTAACCACAATTATTATCAATGTTTTTTTCTAATTACAGATTTGTAGTGTTATTTTTTTATGAGTTGTTCATTTTGTGTATATAATTATTACTACAAATAAAACATAAAAATAAAGCATAAATTCTTAGTGTTATTTTCTCCTCTATTCAGTTAGTTCCATGTTTTGTGCCAGTTATTCACTGGCAATGGGGGGACAATTGTCCCGTGGGGGAGGGCAGTTGTCCAGGGGGCAGCTGTCAGGCGGAAATTGTCCGGGGGGGCAATCGTCCAGGGGGCAGTTGTCCTGATACCATTCACATGCCCTCACCACCTCAAACTGTCTCGATGCAAAATCTCACCACAACTGTCACTACTTTGCCGCCCTCTTATCTCTCGGAGTCATATTATATATCCATCTCACCATTTTAATTTCAGTTCGATAAAGTCTACGTATGTCGTCCTCTAAAACTGTCCATTTCTACTGTCATACAACATCACTCATCTCATGGCGGTTGCATACACCTTTCCTTTCATGTCAATAAAGGCAACCTAACGCATTATTCATAAAGACTAACTACACACAGAGAACAATGTATTTGAGGCCACTCATGTGTGTCGGTCTAGGTATCCATTTTACTCAATGCTATCGACACCTTGTTTTATGTGTGACTGTTTAGGGAAAATCACAACCTACGAGAAGTTAAGATTATTGGCGAAGGTGTGGAGCATGCGGGTGTTGAGGGAGTCTCGAGGAGCCACCGGGGTGCCCGGCTCTTTGAACTCTTCGAAATCAATGAAAGGAAGGTAACGCAGTCCCACCAGCTGGAATGTGTGCCCCAGGAAGTTTTCCAGTTGTTCTGAAAATACACTATATATGTGAACGTCTGTGTGACTTTATTTAGTTACACACACACACACACACACACATATGGAGAGATATCCTACACAGGCCACAGGCCTAGTAGGTGGCCATTAGGTGTACTATATATATATATATATATATATATATATATATATATATATATATATATATATATATATATATATATATATATATATATATATATATATATATATATATATATATAATTTTTTTTTTTTTCATCATCAAGACCTGCTCAATAATCAACTCTAAAGACAGGTCTGCCCAGCAGCCAGGAAATATGATTGCTGTCTCCAGTAGGCTAAATTCTTCCAAAACCAACTACAGAATTAAAAATGCGTAATTGCTTACTTAGACACATTATTATTTTTAACGAATTAAAAACTACTGTAAATACAAAGGGTCGATCTATAATTATTCTGAAATGTACTGATGACGATAACCTAAGACGATTAACTTCCTTACGGCAGACACCCAACTCTTCAAAGGTAGCTAAACAGTAACCAATTCTGAACTCTTACAAGCATTACAATATATTAATGCCGCACGTGCAACATTTATTTTTCAATCTACAAATACGTGATACAACTAAAGATTTACAGATAACTTTCTTTTCACATTTACATCTGTTAACGTCGCTGGCGGCATTGTAGCCAAGTTAGACTCGTGTCTGTAACCAGGCTACTAGGTCAAACTGTGGGTAGATGTACATAACTTTCTTCATTTATTTTTAGTGATATGCATGCACACACCATCCTACTTATTTATTGTGAAAAATTAAAAAAAATACTTGTCCTAAGGGAAACACATAAAAGGAATATACATTTCTTTGAACACGAGTTTGTTGCTTTGTGGGGGAGCAGGAGGGCGGCCGTCTTCCGGGTGGTATAGGGAGTGAACAGAGATGGCGACGCAGTTGCTATGGTAAACAGGAAGTACAGCTGCACAATGTATGCAAATGGCGACTGTGTTAAACTTATTTATTGGTATTATTTTATTTATTCCTCACATTTAGTGGTACTGTATATATATTTTTGAGAAAATTATAGATATAGGAGGAAAATACTCACAAAATCTTTTTTGCTATATACTCCCTGGGCGAGTAGTGGGGGTTGCTCGGCGTGCCTCTAATATGCTGTAATACATGGCAATACAAATTAATACAAATTACCGCACCCTTATCCACTACCTCCTAAGATGTCCCCACACACAACGTTTCCTTGAGGCCTGCTGGACCACCACTCCACGACCCCCTGACGGAGACACGATGATCCTCCCCATACTGGCCAGATATTATGTAAATAACATTGATGATGTATTGAAGGAATATCCTTCCTTCCTTCCTTAGGCTTTCGTAAGCCCCTTTATAATACTTATATATACTTGTGACACTTGCCAGATACTTCTGGTGTTATTGTACCTAGTGAAGGCACTAGGATCCCGCTTCCTCTATCAAGGATTAAAATATTGAAATTGAAATTGAATAAAAATTATTAACAATATTAAATAATAATAATTATAATAATAATAATAATAATAATAATAATAATAATAATAATAATAATAATAATAATAATAATAATAATAATAATAATAATAATAATAATAATAATAATAATAATAATAATGGTTCACATATGAGATCATGCTCACACAACTAATTTCATATTGCTGAATTCGAATCTGATATTTGTTTTGTTCTATCAGACCAGGTTTTATAAAAAAATCAATAGATACAAATATTTAATATTCCATCACGTGTCGTGCAAAAGATGAGATTATCTCATGTGACTGTGCTTTCATGACTAATTTCATATTAATGAATATTAATTGGATGTTTCATTCTACCATCAGACCTACTTTCTTAAAGAATAAAAAAAATAGTAAATATAGTAACATTATCGCGTCATGCAAGATACAATTTTAAACCTATCACAGATAAGCTCATAAAAAATTGTACCAAAAAACATTAGTTCAAATCCTTTATGATGACAAAATATGAAGTTCTAAAAGTGCTTCTGAACTTTACTCTTTCTCTTGTACAGCTTGCTCTCTTCTCGTTGCAGTGTCCAGCAATAGTCGCCCATCATGTTAGGACTGAATTGTCCCTGATATCTGCTCTCCATTATGGCGATATCTTGATGAAATCTTTCGCCGTGTTCATCACTAACGTCTCCAAGGTTACCTGGGAAAAATTCAATATGAGAGTGGAAAAAATGCAATTTCAAGGACATCCTTGCTCCCAATGCATGATAATTCTGAAGCATGGTTGTTACGATTTCTTTGTAGTTGTCAGCACGATAGTTTCCAAGAAAATTCTTTGACACATTGACAAATGATTCCCATGCTTTTTTCTCCAGTGGGTTCAATGTTTTGGTGAATTCGCTATCATTAACTAGTATACGAATTTGTGGTCCATTCAAGACACCTGCTTTCAACTTGGCTTCGGAAACCACACCACCTAGTTTCTGAGATAAGTATAGAGTCCCAGCACCGAATTGATCCATAGCTTTGATGAAATTTTTAGCCAAACCGAGCTTTAGATGCAGTGGAGGCAAAAATTTCTTTTCTGGATCTACAAGCGGATTGTGAGCACAGTTAAACCTTCCAGGCGCATCTCTTGGTCTTGTCGGCCAATCCTTTCTCACATAGTGCTCTGCATCAGCTCTGCTGTTCCACAAGCACAAAAAGCACATGTGCTTTGTGTAGCCACTCTGAAGGCCCAGTCGTAAACTGATGACTTTGAGATCGCCACATATCTTCCACTGGTGTTTCTCATACTCTATAGCGGCCAACAGAATTTTCATTGTTTCATAGCTCTCAGTCATTTTTGTGCTATTGGGACAGATGGAAGCCGATTGCCATTGTGTAAAAGAACAGCTTTCAGAGAGTCTTTACCTGAGTCTATAAACAGCCTCCAATCCTCTGTCTTGTATGTTTCAGACTTGCAGAGTTGTTGCATGAGAGATACTGCGTCCTCGCAATAACAAAGGTTGTTTGCCATCTTGAAAAATGCAGACAGCTGTCTATGTCGGTAACGCGCTGTAGTGATATGCACTCCATCTTCTAGCAGGTTACGTTGCTTTAGTCTGGATCCCAAAACTTCAGCCTTTTCTTTTGACAAGATTAGGTCCCTGATGAGATCATGAAGCGCTTCTTGAGTAAATAGTTTAGGCCTGGTATTTTCAGAGTCATCCTGGTAGTCGTTTTCCATTGAGGTAGAGGTAGAATCGGAATCACTCAATTCTTGTTCAGTCGGTGGATTTGGGACTGGAAGTTCAGCACTGTGCGGTACTGGTCGGATTGCAGAAGCAATATTGGGGTACTGTACCTTGCCTCGTGTCTTGATTTTTATTCCCTTAATATTTGTGAGACAGAAGTAGCAGTCACTACTGTGGTCTTTAGGTTCACGCCATATCATTGGTACAGCAAACGGCATTCCTGAACTTCGTTTACCACACATCCACTCGCTCAGGTGGTTAACACAAGACTTACAGGCTACATGAGGTGCCCATTTCTTGTCTTGGTCACCCAAATGACATTTGAAGTAACTTTTGTAGTTCAGTCGAACAGCTTTTGTGATTGGTTTCTTGAGGCTACCAGGAGTGAAGGCACCACATATGTAGCAAAAACTGTCAGCACCGTTCACACACTTGCGACGTTCCATGTTTTGTTAATTTCAGAGTAATTACAAATCATGCAGGTGTAGATATGCAATATCATGAATCAGCAAACTGAAACAAACAAAAAAGCACAAATCAGGACAAAATAATTCCATAAGTGGAGCCAATGAGCATATAAATTACTGTATGAATAACATGGTACACTAAATATATAGATATGCTGGTTCTGGAAAACTGAGCCTGATACAGCCATACGAATGTCATAATTGAGTTCAGCACACACAATTACACTAGAATCAGACTGTTTTGATCCAGAACCATGAGAATTTTTTTTTATTTTGACCAGTGTAATGATAATAATGAACTATAAAAAAAAAAAAATATATATATATCATTTGTGAGAAGCGATATATGCATGTTGTGTTGTCAAACTAAGAGAAACAGTTGAGACCCTTCAATTGTGTGTAAATGAGGCAGAAAGTCGATCTGCAAACTGGGACTTGGTCACATTTTTTGTGATGTGATATGGCAGCAGAGTCTACCATTAGACAATACATTATACTTCCAATGTCTATTATGTCCAAATATTATATACATAAGCTTCATTGAGTCCTTCTGTTTTTGTAACATGTCTTCAATTCTGTTCATGGACTCAACTAAGCAAACAACATCGACTGGTCGTTAGTCATCACCTCAACAAATAAGATAGCAACCTCCTTTAGATGAGTATCACTGCCATCTGTTTCCATTCATGTCCATTCTCTTCCCTCTTCTGTAATACCATCATCAGGTTATTCATTTTAGTTCATAACATTGATATCTGTCTCTAGTGGTAGTGGAATATCATCGGTGTTTTAGACAAGCGTGGCATTTAGGGCTGCGTCCACAACCAGGTGAGCACGAACAGCCCGAGAGATTGCTTTACTAATAAGATTGTGATCAACTGTATTGTTTGCATGAGCTATTTCAAGTAGCTCCTCAGAGCCGGTCATCAAATGACCATTGCAACCAAGAAAGGTTATTTCCGTGTGCAAGCCATCAAGTCGTGACACAGCCTATACAGCTCATTCGCCTTGGGCTCCAGTGATACAATCAAGGTGGCTTCCATCATAGATGCTTTTCAAGTATCAAGATTGGTGTAACACCCATTCGATGGGCTTGGACACACACAAATGTATTTGCTGATCTTTACGGATCTGCTGTTAAGCAACGAAAATGCTACCCAAACAAACCTGAGGTTTCATGTATGAATATTGTTCAAAATTACCAAATTCCACCAGTTGGATTTTGGTGAATTTTAATATGGCGTTGTTGAGATGTTGCAACAACTAAAAACACCAGAATAATTATTATTGCAATTTGATTGAGGTTTCGCCATAGACTGACTGGACTAATTAATCTTTTTTTTTTTTTCTTTATATTGGGCACCCCCCTACATCCTTGTGTAAGGTGAAGCGCAGAAGCGTTTACAGTGCCCAACATGGAAGCATGCTAAGTTCATGCTTGCCTTTATGTCTCATGAGTTAAGGGCGAAGATGCCTGAAGAGTCAGTGGTTTATGTCATCAAGTTATTGGAAGCTCCAACAACTTGTCCCTGAATACGAATTCGCAACTTTCGACTTACAACAGGTACCTACTTTACTGCTAGGTGAACAGGGACTAATGGGGGCTAGGAAGTAAGTCCAAACAACTTCCACCGGCCTGGGAATCGAACCCGTGACATCTCGCTTGCGAGGCAAGAACGGTACCGCTTCTACCACCGGTCCCCCGACTAATTAATCATGATATGATTTATGATTAAAGCAGTGAGAATGATTTCTTATCATGTGGTATAATAAAGAGATCTCGTAAACTTCTTTCTTAACGCATTTAATTATTTACAGCAACTCATCCACTGAAGTGAATTAGTGTAAGGTTCACAAAACTTAGTAATTTATATTGTTCTTACTCTTGGGTGAGGTCTTATATTTCATCCAGTAATTTTACTTTAAATCAAATATAAGTTATAATACTGAGGAGTTACGGGAACCTCGCTTCATCTCCAAATATGTGAAATTCCTACACATCAACTCATTTCCTTTGGTGGACGACATTTCTTGTGGGTAATACAACGTAGTATATTATAGTCTGTTTTTCGTTAAGGTTTTTTATGTAGTCTTGTTATTTTTATGTATTTTAGCTCCACGTGATATACAGGATATATCATATTTGTTACACATTGCTTCAGACAATCAAAAATGCCAACCCTACCAAATGAAAACGACCTCAGTCCCAATGATCATTTCGAAGGCCATCAGACCTCTACAGTAGGCCTACGTTGACTATACAGTACGGAAAAGAAAAAATCCTATCGGTGAAAAATTGGCATCAATTTGTAGTCGACGCACCTGGGAAGAGGTTGATACGGTGCTGGAGGCCTGAGGTCACGTTCCCCTGATACAGGAGTTGGACCTGAGCCTCACCCTTCTTACAGTACAGACACCGCCTGTACACCCACACCTGCTCACCCTCACTTGCTGTACACGGAAGATAAAGTATGACGTAAGAAAAATCTTGAAGATTCTGGTTACGCAATAATAATTTTCAAGCATTACAAAGAAATTTATTATGTAATTATTGAGGAATATTTCTGAATATCACGACAAGATCACCTTCAATGACTCATTGGAAATTTTAATATCAATGCGAATACACATTGTGCTTTCAAACAATATGTCCCTCTCAACACTTTTACCTCTGATTTTGCTCCTTTCCCTAGATCTCATGTTGAGCGATGGTCTCTGGCCTCTGTGGAGGGGGAGGTCATGGAGGGCGAGGTAAAGGGTGTGAATAGTGTTGCGAAGACTGTGGTGAAGGAGGACGGTCTCCACTCCCTCCCTCTCACCCACCACCACCACAGGAATCTCTGGTCGTCGCCACACTTCACACCACTCCAGGAACCTGCGTCAAAGTAACTTGAATTTACGGAATATGATTTATACTCACACAAGAGTTAGCTCTGCTCTACTGCTTTTCTTACGATTTGGCCAAATTATCAATATACATAAATAAAATTAAAGGGTAGGACTAACTGTCAAACGAGAGTTGTAACAATGTATTTACATGAAGAAGAGGCTGCTGTTGTTGTCCAAGTATATGATGAGGGCGCGGCACGTGAGTGTAGCGTCCCCCCACAGCCCCTGCAGGAGCTGGTTCCTTGCAAGCCGGTCGCTGACGGTTTGATCACCGTTTAGTTGGTCACGTTTTGACTCGTTCCCGCGTGCCTCCTCCTGTGAAAACAACCGCCACGCCTCGACTATCGTCACACTCGTTCTCATTCTCATTAACTGTCTGAAAAAAAACCATATAGAGCATCTTATTATTTAAGAAATATTTAGAACTATGTACACAGGGGCACTGATCACCACTGTCCAACACACCAGACACCACTGGGTGGACATCTCAGCACAGTGTTTTCCAAACTTAAAATAGCGGCGCCCCCTAACTTAGCAAAGTTTCTGTTATTTCCTCTCCCCATTGATATTAAAACAATTTTCGTAACTGATGAGAGAAAAAATCTTCACCTCTGATTAAAATATTTTTAAACATTACCAAAACCATAAATTGTTAAAAGTTTTTAATCTTAAAAACTTATTTGTGTCTCAATAACTTACTTTTATTAGTGTAATGTGTGAGCTTGCTTTTTTGCGCAAAGTATTTGAAATGCAGTCAGTGATGAAATAGTGACTCTTAGCTCTTCTATTATCATCTGAGAACAGTACTTTGTCTTCATGACACCAACAGCAGAACAACTATATTTTTGTTTTTCAAAAGTAGAATGTCACAAAAGGTAAAAAAACCTTGTGACCTTGTCTGCCAAGGTGGGATACTCCCAAGACCTGGGCAGAATTTTGAATTAATTATCCTGTTATATAAATTATCACTTGATAACTCTATACGATGATCTTTTTCAAGGTTGTCAACCAAAGACAATTTTGGGAGACAGAAGACGGAATTTTTATCTATTCAAATTTTGAGACATCTTAGTCCTTAAAATGAAAAATTATTTTGCTAATCCTTCAACATAAACAACTATGAAAAGAAAAATTTGATGCACGGAACTTGTGAAAACTTTAATTTCTAAATTTCTTTTCCGTAATTGAAATTTTCCTGTAAACGCATTCACTTTCCTGTTCTGTGTCAGAATAGTGGTTTGAGGTCTTTCATTGATCTATTTAAATAATTCAGAGTTCTTCATAAACATCTGCCAACCTGTTTTTGGACACCCCGACCAAAAATCTAAAGATGGGGGCGGGGGGCGTCCCAAAGCTAGGAAAACACTGCCTTAGTGAGAAGAGCGCAAGATTAAAACAAATAAATAGTCTTCATCTCAGAACTCATCCTTTGATCTCCTTTATCACTAGCCAAACGGTGGCTTATAGTTATCTTCCTCAGAGTGATTCTCATATGCATTTTGGGCAACCAAGACACATAATGTTTTGAAAAACAGTAGGAATTCTAGTGAAAATCTTGCCATTAAATTTGAGAACATCTTCATTAATGGTCTCATATTTTTCTTCCATTAACCACATATTTAAATATCACTAAAGTTAAAGAATATATATATATATATATATATGTGTGTGTGTGTATGTGTGTATATATAATTTTTTTCGGGGATTAGCCCACCGAGACACAGATCACCGACCCACATCGGGGCCTGGAAGACGAAAATGTAAAAACAGTTTATGATATACAGCTATAAACTCTGCACTCACCTGATCGTCGTGGAGAACGTTGGGTTTTGTGTTGTGTCAACCAGCACCAAGTGACATCCTGTCAGGTGCAGTTCCACTACCTGGCCCACCACCTCGCCCACCTGGTACGCGAAGCCGCCCTTCACTATGCCCATCATTACGCCCACATGATCCACAGGGCTACCGACACACTTCTTCACCAACACAAACGCAATAAGTACGAACATACGTGATGTCATCATATTGACTGTAAATATGGTTAGTGGTCTTGTTGATACTCGCCTTTCAGCGGGAAGATGAATACATTTTACGAAGAGCAAATATCTTGAAAAATAGGGTTCAGTACTTTGTAGGACAAGGAATTCTATCCATCTAGAGAACCGTAACCAATTTATGGGGTCCAAAATTTAGTGAAGTAAAGTTCTTGAATTCCTATCAATTCCGGTGACAACTGAAGATGCATATAGTAATAGGAAGATAGCTATTGATGATAATAAGGCGGTGATTGACATTCACAATACAAAGGATAAGAGTTATACTTCCAAGTCAAAGGTTGATGGAACGCTGATGAAGCGGTGGCACCGTTCAAAATCCTAGTTCTAAATGGCCTGCCACTACGAGGTTTGGTGTTGACGTTGCCCTCTCGTTTCCACCGTCTTATCCACCTACATACAGTTGACACGCTTTTGCCAGTCTCTCTCGCAATGTTACGACAAGATATCCCGTCCACCCACATAGACACTAACTTGGCACGTTCACTCAAATCAGTCGGCTTGTTAGGGCGTCGATATTTCATAATTTTACTCTGCATAGAAGAGAATATTGCTCAGAAAAGAAAATTTTGATACTTCAATGACACGATAAAGGTACAGTATATAAGCAGTGAGTCCGGTGCCTATGCACGACTTCGTATGTGAAAATCTAAATTCCTTGCTTTATATAAGTATATAATTGACAATTCATATAGTAAATTAATTTACCATAAAAAAGAGGTAAAGTATAACAAAGTAAATCCAGCAGTAATTACGTATTCAAACTATAATCATGAAACTTCGAGACCCTGATACTCCCACTAGCAAGTTAACTTCCGGTCTCTAGCTATCACTACTGCCTACTGTGAACGTCAATTGGTAAGATAAGGTGGCGAGTGACTCACCGTACGAGTCAGAGTGAAGTGTAGGTGGCGAGAAACACTTGGTGACAGGGCGCGGTGGACGAGGACAATGAGAGGGAGCCTCGGTGTTGCCCCTTTTATCGCTCGCTCACGCGCCGTTGAATGTCACGAGTCACGTTACAGTCTTAAGCCGTGATCTTGGAGGTCATCAGAAGGTAATGTTTCAATATATAATACTCTGCAAGATCATTGCCACCATATCAATTGTTATTTGTCCTGCACTCATGTTGTGAATAAACATTTACTGAAACGAGCCCGATGTATTCTGGATATTTAAAGTTTGCTCAGTAAGAATGAATTACCATAGTCTGAACACACGCACACACACACACACATACACACACACACACACACACACACACACACACACACACACACTACTTTGTTGTCACTCAGAATCGAGCATGACGATCATCCAGCTATGATACTATAATATGAGTTATTAGGGATGTCACCTAGGTTAGTGAGTTTTGAGGTGACTAAAGAGACCGATACGGGACCCGCAGCGTCATTCACATTTGTTGCACATGTGGAGGGCTCCATCTACTGAGGGAGGGGCTGTAGCAGCGTCTTTCTGGCGTTGGCGCTTGTCTGCCTAGATTTGTAGTCGGGCTAACTCGAAAGTATTGACATCTTCTCGTGTGGTGCTCCTTCAAGCGTAACGATGTGCAGTAATCGACTCCCATGTGAAGGGGTCGATTTGGACCTTTTCAGGTTTGTCTTAACACTATCCTTATACCTTTTCAATTGCCCGCCTGCATTACGTTTGCTATAAGTTAGGTGACTGTAAAGTAGCGGCTTTGGCAGTCTATTGTCGTCCATGCGGGTAACATGGCCAGTCCAACATAGTTGTTCATGGATAATGGCAGCCTCGACGCCCCTGCAGTTGGTGTCAGCAAGAATACTGGCATTTGTTCTCTTGTCTTCCCAGCGAACTCGGAGGATGGAACGTAGACTACGTTGGTGAAAGTTTTCAAGCGCCTTGAGGTGCCTCCTGTATGTGACCCATATCTCACTGTCATAGAGCAGGGTGGGGAGGACCACTGCTCGATATACGTGCAATTTTGTAGATTATTTCTGCTCCCTACAGCTGAAGACATGATTTCGGAGTCTGCCAAAGGCTTGAGATGCACATCTGGTCCGATGCTGAATCTCTTCATCGATGTCTGCGGTCGTGGAGAGGTGGGAGCCAAGATCCCGAAAGTGCGGCAACATTAGAGAGGGTAGGGCCGTTAAGTTGGATGGATGGTGGAGGTGCGTCTGAACCAGGGGCAGGTTTAATGAAAATCTGAGTCTTACATATATTCACCTTAAGTCCGAAGTATGCATACCCGTCTGTGTAGGTGTTCAGGATCTCCTGTAGGTAGTGTTCAGTGTGAGCAACAAGGGTGAGGTCGTCTGCATACTTAAGTTCGGCAATGGAAGCTGCCGACACCTTTGTTCTTGCCTGGAGTCGTCTTATGTTGAAAAGACCCCCCTTCACCCGGTACTCGAGGTTCACCCCACTGGCTAAATTGGCACTGGCACGAGTAAGGAAGGCAGCCAATAAAATGGAAAAGAGAGTTAGTGTCAGTACACACCCTTGTTTAACCCCTGTTTGGATGGGGAAGAACTCTGACTGGATGCCGTTGCGAAGGATACTGCCGTTCATGCCATCGTGGAGTTGCCTCACAATGGAGATGAGTTTTGGTGGGCAGCCAAAACGGATGAGGGTCCACCAGAGGGCTTCCCTGTCGACTGAGTCTAAGGCCTTGGTTTGGTCGATGAAAGCCATGAACAGGTCACGACGCTGTTCTTTGCACTTTTCCTGCAAAGATCATGTCAGTGGTGCCACGTGATGGTCTAAAGTCGCAATGAGATTCTGGGAGAAAGTTTTCCACCTCAGGAAGAAGTCTGTTTAGGAGGCCTCGGCCGATAATCTTGCCAGATACAGACAGCAGCGAGATCCCATGGTAGTTGCCACAGTCTGACCGGTCTCCCTTGTTTTTATAAATATTGACAATAGAGGCGTCTTTAAGAGCTGGAGAATTTTCTACTTTTCCCATATATTCTCCAGGTCCTCCTGCTTTATACACCTCGGCTGGGATTCCATCAGGCCCTGAGGCTTAGTTATCTTTCATCTGTTTAATGGCAGTAACTACCTCATCCAGGGATTGAGGATAGCTAAGGTGGGTCAGCTCTGGATGCTGAGGGACCTGCTGGGTAGTCAGGACATCCATATCGGTGTTTCGGTTGAGCAATGAATGGCAGTGCTCTTTTCAGCGTTGAAGGAGGCCGTCATCTTCTTTAATTATGAGGTTACCGTCAGATGAGCGGAGGGGGGCTGTGCCACGAGTGACTGGCACATAAAATGTTTTAGTAGAAATTAAAAATTCGCGCATCTTGTGCTGATCTGCAAGATTTTGTGCTTCACATGCTTTATTTTTAAGCCATTCGTTATTTAGATTACGAAGCTCCCACTGGGCTGCCGCTTGCTTTTTGCAGAAGGTATCAGCTTTGGACCGAGGCTGAGGGTTGTTCTTCCAGTCAGTAAAAGCAGCATGTTTATCATCGATGAGTACTTTGATTGCCGGGTCATTTTCATCAAACCAATCCTGCTGTATTCTTTTGATTTGTCTAAGAGTCTCTCTATAGGATTTTCTCATGACATTATTAAGAGTAACCCATTCGGCACTGGGATTCACGTTGTTTGCTGTTGGGTTGTTTATAAGCCCATGTTCGAGCTGCTCTCTGAAAGCATGAGCTACCGCAGGATCCTCCAGACGCTTAGTATTAAAACCTCTTCTGGAGACTTGTGGCCTTCGCCGTTTTGGGGCTACGTGAAGTGAGAGCTTGGATCTGACAAGTTGATGATCAATGTCACAGTGATTTGAGCCACGCATGGCACGGGTGATGAGGACATCACGGCGATATCTTTCTCTTACTTGGCCAGTCATGGGATGTCTCCCCAGAACTGTTTGAGGAAGTCTATCAGTTCACCTGTTGCATGTATGCTGCAAATAATAGCACTAATGAGGTGAAAGAACTTCGCTACCACCTCTTCTTTGCCAAACGAGGACAATTTGAGTCCAGTCACCTTCCACCATGCAGAGAATGCCTCTTTACGCACGTTCTTCGTGACAACTACCAAGCAGCAATCTGAAAGTGCTCTCTGCAGAGTCAATATTCTGTACCAGATCCTACCGAGAGCGGGTGGATGTAATTAACCATCACTATCTAGAAACTAGTGGTGCTGCTTATTCTGTGGCATGTAACACAGAGACACGTTATTGGGCAACTGTATTATATGTAATTTGACAAAAGTGAGTGTAATCGCTCATAGGAGCGATTTGGGTTTGTGCAGGACAATAAGAACCTTGTCGTTGACGCGATGAGCATAATTCGGTCCAAACCTGCTGAATACAATTCACATATAACAACTGCTGGTACATGAGGACACAGTTTGAATAATACGATCAATATACAGTAAATAATTACACTTATTAAAGTTATTTAAAGTTCTCAGAGGATTCAACTGTTCACAATCACACTCACTTTTTAGGGTCTAGGGTTAGACCAACGAGAACAAATATAATGCCCTGCAGAAAGATTTTGGCTGACGAGAATCAAGATGTTGTCTTTACAGTAGAAGGCGATAGACTGTCCCTCAGGCAGTCACACAGCTGCTGCCAGCTCCACCTCGCTTAGTAAGCTATTCTGAGTTGTAAACAGTTTCTTCACTTAACATGTGGCCGGCGCGCACAATTGTGCGTGGCGATAACAGTGAGGATCACCAAGGATTCAGGGAAACCATAAATATCTTGGGTGTTGTGCAGTTTATTAAAATTAGCTCACGTCTTGGGACATTCTCAGAGCAAAGCTTAAAGAGACAGTGTTCTAAAGTTGCATGGACATTTTCATACATATGAAATAAAAAAATGTATTTTTTTAAATGCAAACAATACATCAAAGACAGGATAAAAACTAAAGATTTCTTAATTGAATGATTGGACTAGTCTGAAAATTCTAAACACACAAAAGTGAAGAGCAAGTGCTATCATAAGCATACACACATACAACAGAAGAAACACAACAATTTATGAGTGGCCATATTACTAACACCACGTTTTAGTTTTAGCCCATGGGCTCCGATAACCCCCCTTATATATACCTGCCATCTGTTTTGGGTTACCTTGATGTCTAAACTTTGAAAAAACTTTGTTAATCAAACGATTTCTGGTTGCTAGTACTTGAACCTGTAAATAGATATCAAAAATGGCCGCCGGCCGACATGGGCCAAAATTTATAATAACACAACTTTTCAACCAGTAAGCCTAAAAACACGAGTGAACAATGTATTTCAAATATTTGTGAGGGGGGGGCGAAATTGATTTAAATGGTTATTTTGAGGTTTAAAGGACATAATAGGGATCAAACGCCCATAATAATATCCGCCAAAATGGGTCAAATTAATATTTTTCAGCTGATTCATAACCTTTGAGCCAGTAGACTAGTTATGTGTACGACGTATGGATTTTGACCAATGTGATAGGAGATTGATTGTTATGGTTATTTAAAGGTTTAAAGGTCATCTTTCAGATCAAATGTCCAAACTGGCCGTACGGACAGACAAACATCAACTTCAGTGTCTACATTTCAGGTAGCTAAGTGTTCTAGAACTTTAAGTGGACCACCCAAAAATCGCTTAACTAACAAAGATTCTTAGAATATTAGACTTCAAGGTAACTGAAACACAAATAGTAACAGGTATAAAGGAGAGGGGTTGGGTGAACTAATTAGTTTGTAGCGCTAGCCATATTAAGATATTTCTTCTAATTTTAGAGTACATTATGGGTGATGAAAAACCGCTTAGTCTCAGAAAAGGAATGTCGCAAAACTCATGTACAAGGGGTGTGATTTCTCCGGGTTTTTTTTTTTCAGTTTTCCAGTTTTCCCATCGTTTTAGGCGACCCACGTGAATCGTGTAGATCCGTTGAGATTTTTTTGGGGGGGAGGGGAGGGGAGGGGTAGTATGACCATGACGAGAGAAATGTTTGACAATAAATAACAATAATTGACCCTCCAGGGTGGATGGTTCTGCCGCGCGAGGACAATGAGTCAGTCAAGCACCTTGGAGTCAGTGTACTGAGCATAGTGGCCGCACTCTACATGTTCATGCATTACATCATATACTCTTATTTCTCATTGGCCGAGTATTGCTTATTTTGAATTTCATTCTTCGATTCATTAGTATTTCATTGACCAAAGATCAATGTCGTCCTACAACGTCACTATTAGAAGCATTATAGTATGCCCCTTCACCCTATCCACTTGATCCACCCTGCCCCACCGCTGCTGGCAGAGGAGTGGCTAAGCATTTTTCAATATAACTAAGTTTCTCTAATTATTTTACACTTTCTGCTGATCACAATTTATTCTATAACCCACGCCATATTTCATAGTTGTACAGGCAACTCAGTATTTGTTTACTATTTCCTTCAATAAATCGACAAAGCAACTACCTATGTGTGTCATAGCTGGACGGCTTCTAATTTCACAATATGCCTTCTTTATTAAGTCTCCCGTCTGAAGAGTCCGTTTTCTCATCGCTTCACGACGCCTGAGTCTTTCGTTTTCTCTCAATCTTAGAGTGCACCCGATACTTCGTTATTCCTTGGTATAACGACACAGAATTTGAAATTGCAACTGTGGTGGTATATATTGAGGCACCTTAGATATCTCTTATTACAGTTGGAACATTCAAGATCCATTGTTAGTGGTGTTGAAGGCTTCAACTGTCTTTATTGTTGAAGGATGTCTTTAATATGGCGAGATCAGAATCAGAAGAAAGGCCTACCCAGGGAACGCCGTGTTGGGACACTGCACCAAGTCTACCTCAGGGCGCTCCTTGCGAGCGAAGCGAGCTTCGGCTGTCTGTGTCGTAAACAACCCCAGCGACCAGTGGACTCAGTCTTGGCCGGTCCATTGATCTAGGTTATATGTATTGAGCCGTATTGGTATCCGTGATTGGGGATAATTAGCAGAAATATAGTTATCCCATGTCATGTGTGTTGTGCATCCTTCATATGTACTACCAACTGAGTTATAGTTAGAGTGCCACGTTGTTCATTCCGAAATAACATGATGTGCTAAATAATACCTTAGATTGGGATATTGTCAAGTGTGTCCTATAACCATCTGTATTGACAATGGAATAGTATAACAGTTGTTTAATAATGTAATAAGTAATGAAGGTCTATTTTGCTATGTGTAAAGTAAGACCTACGTGGTCGAGCCTTGTCTGTGTGTACTTGATTAACATACTGTAGTGTTCATTCCTTATGTTAATAAATTTTTAATTAGTAAACTGCGAGTATCACCGCTCTATACCTTCTAATCATTGGTTCTCAGAAAATAACTATTGTAACTCACGTGCCTAGAAGCTCCCTAGCACGCTACCTAACAGTTCAATGAGATATGTTATATTCTAATGACAGTCTGGGTGGTGGCAGACTACTGTGGTAAGTATAATAAGTGTTGTAGTAAGACTGACAGGGTTTCCCAGACTGATCCATGGTATGGAATATGACTAAAGCAGGATATAATTTAGAGAAAGTAAGGGCATAAAATTCAGAAAAATACAATAATATATATGACAGAAAGAATAAAGTATAGAAAAGAAGAATAAATATGAAGTAGGGAAAAACAGACACTTACATTGTGATATTAGAAGCCGTCCAGCGTAGAGCAACAAAGATTATACCTTCATTAAGTAACAAACCCTATAAAGAGAGGCTGGAAAAGTTAGTCTTGTTTTCATTATAGAAGCGTCGACTCTGGGGTAGATTAATCGAATGTCTTAAAATATTCAATTAGACTCTTTGAAATATTATTTTACCAATGACATTGTTTGAGAGTGGAATAAGCTTCCCGTTTCAATTATTCAAAGCAATACGATTAACACTTTCAAAAAACACCTCGATCGCTACTTCTCTGATGAAGATATTCGCTTTTTTATTTCTTTATGGACAGACCACCTCGAATGGACCTAGGGTCTGTGTGGTCTGTGTTTCTATGTAATCTAAGTGTATCTCAACAGATACTACAACTGTTTCTCATTTTCTCGTAATGTGATTGGCTCAAGTCATATGACGCCAGTGCTTGGTATTTTCCCCATGATCTTGGGCTTAAGCCTTTGGATCGAGTTTTATTTATGAAAGTATAGGTACAAGTATTCTGGGCATTTTTAGGTTCATTTTAATAATTAACATTAATCTGGATTATTACTACAAAATAATACCACTCATAACCACAGTGGGTTTGTTGGCTGTCCTTTGGGTTTATTGGTCTTGGTGCGTGGGATATGATATTCTCCCACTGAGAGGCTGCTTCCCCAATCTCTGGATGGGTTGTTCTTGAAACTATTCCAAGGAGTCCAAGAACGATCATCACGACCAGTTCGTCTGGCAGTGGGATCTGGGAGGCTTTATAGATATCAATTCCTTCCAGGAAGGCGAATCAGGAACGCTGCCTGCCCTCACTGTGCGTTTTTCAAGGAGAGAAGGTCACAGCATTTGAAAACATAACCCTAAAAACCTCTTCGCACTTTCTTAATATGTGGCTATCGAAAGACGGTAGCACCCGAGGACACTTTCTGAGGTAATACTGGGAATTGTAGTCATCCAGGAGACCCGTACTCAGGACCACCTTCAGTTGTATGAGAAGGTGCCAGGGCTAATGATGCCATATATTTTGCTAAGGGCACGGGCTTTCCTGCAGATTGGGTAGGTGCCACAACTGTCTGGATTAACCATGACCATTTTGTCACCTCGGTGAATTGAGTGGGATATGGCTAATCTGGGAGAAACTTCTTTTTCGTGAGCGCACGTGACGGCCTCGCATGATTATTTCGACTCTGGAATATATTCTTCTATCGATGCATTGAACTTTATATCTATATCCATTGAAACACCCTATGCAGTTTTGCTGAAAGATTCCTTTTTAAATAAAGATGAAAAATGTACTTAGGTCACATTCAAAGTAAAATTTTCCACCTTTAAAAGGTAATTAGGAATAGGTTGTTCTCTCAATTTCAGCGTTGAATTCAAGAAATATAACCTACTTCTTCATCTGCGAATTTTCTTGCTGGAACATACTCTTGACATGTTTGGAGATCTTATCGTTTGGATATCTAAAGTCCTTTGGGTGAATGTTAATTTTGTTAAAACGAGAATATGGCACAAAGTTGAAATATCGGTTAAAGACTCAAGAGAATAATCTAAATGAAGAAAGTCAAAGTGATGTCATGTAGGAGTAGAGTACTGCCCAAGCCTGCCCATTCAAACTTCTCCAGGTCTGTGACATACCAAACGCTGAAACAACCAACCTTACATACAGTGTTACTACATTAATATTTTCTTTATATCATTTAGTTCATTATTAGGAAAAATGTGTGTTGGTATTTGGGTCCCTGGTAGATGAGAAACTCGGCCGAAAAGGCGAGGAAGGCGAGGAAGCAGCCCAGCAGCAACAGGTAGAAGCCGCCCTGCAGGTGATCCAGCCCCAACACCACCTGACTCGAACTCTCCTGTATAATTATGTTATGTTTAATGAAGAGGTAGAACATTGCTGTATGCCTAATTTAGGTATAATTCGGCAATCTTATGAAGGTAAATAATGTCTTCAATGAAACAGAAAAAAATTGCCATATGCGATTTAATTTGCATTAAATTGTTAGCAATAAAATGAAAAAGGTAACTCTATTTGACAAAATGCCAATTCCTTTTTAAAGGATAGTCGACGATTATCCCTATTTAGTGTTACAATAATAAGCGTCAGGAATATACTTAATTAGCACAAAACCTAAGAAATCATACCATTGCATCAGGCATATTGCGCTCTGTGGATGCGATGGTTACTTACATTAGGCTATAGAAGATGCATTATAGAAGTTTAAAGCCAGGATGAATAGTCAGTGCTCGGCGTAACAGCAGTTTGCTGCTTGTTTGGCGCCAACTCCAACGTCGGAGGTATAGTAGGCAAGCTGGGAGGGGGAGCCGGCAGTCGGGGCCGGGCTACGAATGCCATACAGATCAGGTCGGTGGCGCAAGCACAACACCTCTCTTGGTTTTTAATTTAGCATATGCCCTGGCTAATAGCAGGATGAGAGCGGTGGACTCTGGCGGCTGAGTGTGAAGCAGTAAAGCATACCCCGAGCAAAAGTGACCATTGACGGAGCAGCGACGGCAGGTTTGGTGGCAATTGAGAGCGACGGAGGAGATTGGTGATAAAAAGTGAGGAGTAGCTGGGTGGCGGACAGTGTCGGTTGGAAGAGTGGGAGAAGAAAAGACAGTGTTGATTGATAGTGACATGGGCAGAGGGGTAACAGAAAGAATAGTGGCGATTGCAGTTAACGGTTAGAGGAACCCCGACGGGAGTAGTGATCTGTGTGGACGGATTCGGTGAAGAGAACAGAGTTGAAGATCTTTTAGTCATACTGTGTACATACAGTATGTTCTTATTACTGGTTTGATGGAAATTGATTTTTAATTGAAAATACAACTACATACGTAAACGTTGCTCCTACCAGTACATAAGGCAACCCTACACATAACCATATCTCTGACATTTACTTACGACGAAATTTAGATTTATTTATTTATTCAGGGTGACGCAAAATGAAGTCAGACCTACAAGCTATACATGCAGTTTCACTAATAAATGTAACTCGTGAATTCTCACAGAACAATATAGCAGAACCAGTGGTATAACTTCTTGTATTGTTTGAGAATTAAATATATCTTGGAGAAACACACACAACCTGGTGATATATTCTTGGTCATTCACCACTGCAGCACCATCAACAGTATCTTTACATGCTGCTACTTCTGGGAGGCAGAAGTCACTGGATTTAAATCTTGTTACGGGTATGAGTGCATCAAGAACATTTACAATTTACTGCGTCATTGTTCCTTACTTCAGTGTATAGTGGAAGCTCATTCCCATCTCGCTTTACGTTGTTGAACTCCGAGTGGGTCTGTATTAGTTCATCTAGCCATAGCTTTAGCAACCCTGCCTCCATCAGTTGTTGCTTCACCTTGCTGAGTTGACCCAGGAATGGTGCTCCTTGTCTGTTGAAATAAATTTATTTGAAACATTTGTGAAGTTCTAAAATGCAAATCAATATAATGCCCGCCAAGAAAAGTCTCCAACTGAACTGACCTGAAGCCCCAACCGTTGCCCCCAAAAATGGGATACTCGGTTTTACTGATGTAGAAGGGCGAGTTTCTGTTTCTGTCAGTGTAGATTTTAGTAACTTGAATTTTGACCCATGTCTTAAGCGACAGGAAGGAAAACCCGCCGGCCAATACTCGCTCCATGCCGTCTTCTCTCTTGTACGT